AAGGACTTTGCGTGGGTCATTGAAGACATAGTTACTGGGTCTCAATATGGTGGCTAGGTTTATGTAGAGGATGATCCAGTAACAAATTGTGGTTTCAAGGGGGTAGGGTGGGGAAGAGAGAGACAGACAACTTAATCCTACGCTAGGGGAAAAAGAATGACTTTGGACTAGAAGGAAGCTTTTTATTTACTTATTTATTTTGATTATCCATATTCTTCAGTCATCCCCATCAAGATCCAAATAAGAATGAATGGGTTGGGCAGGAGGTAGATGATAGGTCTGGATCTGTCACTGACTTGTGACCTCATATGAATTACTAGGCCCCTCTGGGACACAGTTTCCTCACATATAAAATGAGTTCATCAACTCTTGTCATACCAACCTACCTCAGAGCCTCTATCTATCTATCTATCTATCTATCTATCTATCTATCTATCTATCTATCTATCTATTTTTTTGCTTCTTTGTTGTGTTTTCTTTTTTAATTTCTTTAAATGAAAAAAAAGTATGCTTTAATCTTCACTCAGAGTTCATTAATTCTTTCTCCCTCAGAGCTGTTTTAAGGACAACTCACATTTATCTGTCACTTTAAGGTTTGCAAAATGCATTGTATATATTACCTTATTTGATCCTCACAGCAACCCTGGGAGGTAGATGCTTTGTTTTCCCCATTTTACAGATGAGGACAATGTGATGCAGAGAGATTAAGTTAAAAGGACAGTGTCATGTAGTTAGTAAGAGTCTGCCACAAGACTAGAACTCAGGGCTTCCAGATTCCAGGGTCAGTACTGTATCATGCTACTCTGCCTCTCACATAAGATAGTATCTGAGTAAGTGCTTTAGGAAGGGTGAAGTGTTATGTAAATGTGAGGTGATGCTATCATCTCTGTTTTGCAAATGGAGACCCGAACGCCCTGAGGAGTCAAGGGACTTGGTTAAGGTAACATAGATAACTAACAAGAGAACCAAGATGAGAACCCAGATATTCTCTTTCCACAGCATTTACGGTTGTTCAGCATCTATGTCCTTGAATTTCCCACACGGAAAATGTTTCTTTTGTCCCACATCCCTCACATACACCCGTAGACTAGGTAAAGCCCACATCTTGGTCACTAGTTCTGAGATTGTGTTTTAAAAAAATAAACCTCATTACAATAAAACCATTGCATATTTCAGGAGATGTTGCCTCTCTGAGCCCTCTAGAATCACAGGATGTCAGAGCTAGAAGACACTAATTTAGAAATCCCTCATTTTTACATATAAAGAAATTAATGCGCAGAGAAAGAAAGTGAATTGTCTAAGGTCAAATGTCAGAGATAAGATTAATTTTTGGGGGGGCAATTGGGGTTAAGTGACTTGCCTAGGGTCACACAGCTAGTAAGTGTCAAGTGTTTGGTCTGAGGCTGGATTTGAACTCAGGTCCTCCTGACTTCAGGGCCGGTGATCTATCCACTGTGCCACCTAGCTGCCCCCCAGAGATAAGATTTGAACCTAGGTCTTCTAACTCCAGATCAGTATTCTTCCTCCCCTACCATTCTACTTCCTGGTTCAGTTCTTCTCATTTTGGGGAGACACTGTTTTGTCAAAGCACTGGGGCCCATGGGCATATTTCTTACCTCTTCACAGTGTGGTGTGCCTCTGTGGTAAAGGCTTAGGGGAAGAGAGAGAGCCCCAATGTTGTTCTCTGGTAGATCCTTCACAGAGGATCCCTCTCAACCAAGCAAACAGCATTTATTAAGCACTTACTGTATGCTAGGCACTGTGCTAGGCAATGGACATACAAGGACAAAGAATGAAACAATCCTTACTCCCAATGAGCTTGCATTCTAATGGGGGATATGTCAAGCACACATGAAAATATATACAGCATAAATATAAAGTTTATTTGCATATATACATGAAGTAGTTAATAATAATAACAGTTAGCATTTCATAGAACTTTACAAATATAGAGTTTTATCTTCACAACAACTCAGAGCAGATGGTATTATATCCATTTTACAGAGGAGGAAACTGAGGTAGAGAGCAATGAAGTGGCTTGCCCGGGTTCATGCAGCTAAGTAAGTGTCTGAAGCTGGATTTGAACTCAGGTCTTCCTGACTTCAGGTTCAGCATTCTATCTACTGTGCCACCTAGCTGCCTACTTAAATAGAAGATAGTTTGGGAAGATGTGCAATAGCATTTTGGGGGCAGGGAGAAGCAGAAAAGGCCTTATGCAGAAAATGGTACCTACACAACTGGATCCTCTTCTCTAGGTCCTTTTTGTGGGGACCAGTAGAATAAGTAGATTGTCCACTGGTCATCCTTTAGGTTTACAACATGACTAGGCCATGTCCTTTTTTTTTTTTTGGAAGGGAGAACACTGGTTCTCCCTATCTTGCCCAGGCTAGAATATAAGTGGTCACTCACTGGCCTAATCCCCTTGCTGACTGCAGGGAAGCTTTTACCTGCTCTGTTTCCAACCTGGGTAGCCTGCCTTTCCTTAGGCAGCCTGGTGCTTTTCACTCTTATGGGCTTCCCATATTGGTATTAGACTTAGCACAAGTACACAATCAATGTTAGACCTGCTCCAGCTCCGAACTCCTGAGCTCAAGCACTCCACAAGTCTCCCTGGCCCCCAGTAGCATGGATTTTAGGTGTGTGCTACTGTGCCCAGCCCATGTCCTCCAATCAGAACTTTACCTGAAGATACCCTTTATACTGAGAGGTGTCTTGGCTTAGGTGCAAGGGTTCTTAACTTTTTCTGTGCTGCGGACCCCTTCCTATAGACACCTTCACAAAAGACTTTTTAAATGCATAAAATAAAAATCATTAGATTACAAAAGAAACCAATAATATTGAAATACAGTTACCAAAATATTCTAAAAATCAAGTTCATGGGACCCAGTTGAAGAAGCCTTGACTTAGCCAATAAAGTGATGGCCTCAGGAAGACCTGGTCAAGTCCAGCTTCTGCCCCACACTGGCTGTCTGATCTTGGGCAAGTTACCTACCTCTCAGTGCCTGCAGTAGCTACTAATTGGTATGCACTGTTAGAGGGAGTTTCCTCCTTTGGAATTCCCCATGTTAATGAAATTGCTGGTCCAAAAAAGTCTTTTATGCTACATCTTTGAGCATTGTCCTCATTGGATACATGCTGCAACCTCCTTATACTTGCCATGTATCTCTCCATTGCTAGTCATCATTATTGTTAGTTATCTATACATAGTTATAGTTATCTATCTCTATATATAATCTATATATAATATCCATATTATTCCCCTCCTAGACTGGAAGTTCTACAAGGTCAGGGAATCTACCTTGTATAGACTGGTCCCTAGCACAGCACTTTGTACATAGTGCCTTATATATGCTATTGATTAAGGTAGGGGTGGAGTCAAGGAAAAATTTTTTTTAGAAAATCTGTTTTCCCAAAACATATGGGATTGTGTTCCTATCACTTTTTACTTTTCTCTGAGGTGCTCTGGTTGGGCGTAAGCTCAGTCCTCATTCATGGCATTCCTTGAAGCTAAAGGATTGGGGAAATCAGGCGAATATATATTTATTAAACACTTACTGCATACCCAGCCCTGTGAGTGACAATGAGAAAAGGAGAAGACAGTTTTTATCTTCCAAGACTTTACAATTTGGTTTGGAAGAGGACTAACTCATATACATGAAATGTTTAGAAGCTGACTAGTGTAAAAAGTATGTGGTCTTGATTATAAATTCAATAGAAGCTTATTTTTTGAATTAAAAATTATATGAGCAAAAACTGTTTATTTTTCTTTCATCTCTCCCTCCACCATTGGGAAAAAACCCAAAAACCTTTGTAACAAATATACATATGTGTTCATATACATTCACACATACACATATACATATATGTATATATACATATATACATATATATGCAAAACCAGTTGCCACACTGGCCATGTCCAAAAAGATCTCATTCTGCCTCAAGTGTTACTTGGTTCTGTCAGGAGGTGAGTAGCGTACTTCATTTTTGGCCCTCTCAAATCATGGCTGGTCATTGCATTTATTGATCAGAATTCTTGAGGCTTTCAAAACTGTTAGTTATTCAGTGTTGTTGTTATTGGGTAAATTGCTCTACTTCTGTTTATTTCATTCTGCCTAACTTCAGAGAGGTCTTCCCAGGTTTCTCTGAAATTATCCCTCTTGTAATTTCATATGGTATAATAATATTCCATTATATTCGTATGATTTGATCAACCATTCCCCAATTAATAGGCATCCCTTTAGTTTTCTATCACAAAAGTAGCTGCTGTATTTTTATGCATGTGGGTGCTTTCCCTTTTTCTTTGATCTCTTTGGGGTCAATAGTTTAGAGAGGTGAGGAATGGGGGCTTCATGGAGGAGGTGACACTTGAAGTGGGTTTTGAATGATAGCTGGAATTTGAAGAGGAGGGACAACATAGATCAAGAGGTGTGGTGCTGGGAATGAACAGTGAAGGGCATTTGAGTGGCAGTGAGAAGACCAGTCTGATTGGAGCAATGGTAGATCCATGAGAGGTGATGTTGAATAGGGCGTTGGTGTTAGATTGTGGAGGGTCTTAAAAGTCAGGCAGAGGACTCTCCTTCTTCTTCAATCCCCTGGCTTAGAAATAACATCTGTGAAGCCTCTTCAAGGTAGAGGGAATGGTCGACATTGACTTCTAGAGATAGTTAATAATTTATAATAAATTGCATTTATATAGATCTTTAAGGTTTGCAAAGTTCTTTACAATGATCTCATTAGATTCACACAACACCACTGGGAGGTAGGTGCTATTATTATCCTGATTTTACAGATGAGGAAATCAAGGCAGAGAGTGGTCAAATGACTTGTCCAGGGTCACACAGTTAATAAGTATCTAAAGCAATATTTGAACTGAGGTCTTTCTGAGTCTAAATCCAGCACTTTATCTTCTCCCCCACATAGCTGACCTCCATCTGAGGCAACCAGTGACCTCAGGGATCACCTACTCACACACCTACCCATCTCTGTTCTCCTTGCAGTCGTATCAAGAGCAACGTAGATGGACGCTACTTGGTGGATGGTGTCCCCTTCAGCTGCTGCAACCCGAATTCTCCAAGGCCCTGCATACAGACCCAGCTCACCAACAACTCTGCCCACTACAGCTATGACTATCAGACTGAAGAACTCAACTTGTGGATCCGGGGCTGCCGGGAGGCACTGCTCCATTACTACAGCAGTATGATGAACACCATGGGTGCCATCGTCCTTCTTGTCTGGCTTTTTGAGGTACAGATTTGGTCTGTTTGATTTTAGGGCTATATGGAAGGTATGGCCAACAAGGAATTTGTGGTGGGGGGCAGGGGGGAAGGTCTTATTATCCTTTGGGTTTTAAAGGGCTGGCTGCTTTACTTGGGAGTCTTGCCACAGAGTAGTCCTGGCCTCACAATAGATCAGGATGGCACCAGCCCCGTGATAGACTATAATGACAGAGATACTAACTTAGGTGTGTCCTGCTTAAAGCCAGTCTAACATAAAATAGCTAGTGTGTATATATAATTTTGAGGTTTGAAAAGCACCTTACCAATATTATCTCATTTAATCTTCACAATCCTGAGAAGTAGGTACTACTCTCCCTATTTTTTACAGATGAGGAAACTGAGGCAAACAGAGGTTAAGTAATTTACCCAGGGTCAAAGAGGAGGAAGTGTATGAGGCTGGATTTGAAATCAGGTCTTCCTGACTCCAAGTCCAGAGCTCCATCTGCTGAACTAAAACTAGATCTTAACAAAACAAAACAAAACAAAACAACCCAACACCATGGCAGAGAACTTGTGGGGGTATGGAACAGGGCCTCATATTTTTATATTAGGAGCTCCCCATGTGCATTTCAAATTAATGAGCACATCAATTGTACAAAATGAGGTATGCCTCTTTTAAAAATCCAGTTTATAAAATTGAAACAAGGGGGAGGAGAATAGTCAAGTTTTTTGTTTTGTTATTTCCACATACTTTAAAAAAGAAACAAACAAACTACGCCAATTGCATAGAGTAGAGAACATAGCCAGGAACTCACAAACACGAAATATTAATCTGTGAATCAAAAGGAAAGTAATTGGTGAGTGGGGTGGGCGTAATCAAGGAAGACTTATTGGATGAGGTGGTTTTAAGTAGGGATGCTTAGAAGGGATAGGGAAAGACTTCACCAAGTCATCGAATTTAGCTCCCTGAAACCAATCAGGAAGACATTTCCATCATCCCAGGGCATTGGCCATTCTGAAAAGATTCCCTGGGGAGAGGCCACAAGCCCTTTGGAAATTCTGACTCTGATTCTGACGATATGATAAATCTAAACATTAGGAAGTTCTACCTTTGGCCTTCTTAAAGTACCATCCCATGAGTTATCCTTTGTTCTCTGAATTTTCTCCTCTCCTCTCCCCAGGTGACTATTACAGTTGGACTACGCTACCTACACACAGCCCTGGAAAGTGTGACCAATCCTGAGGACCCTGAGTGCGAGAGTGAAGGCTGGCTGCTAGAGAAGAGTGTGTTGGAGACCTGGAAATCCATCCTGGAGAGTTTGAAAAAACTTGGCAAAGGCAGCCAGGTGGAGGCTGCATCTGATGAAGGTGGCCAGGCCCCACCAGCCAGCTGAGGTGTCTCTAGGGAGCCCTTGCCAGGGACACCCCCACTGGACAATGACACACAGGGAAGTGGTGGGACTGAGAGGGGCAGTGGAAACTCTGCTCCCCTAATCTAATGTACATTCATGACCCCCCCAGTGGAGAATGACCATCTTGAAAAAATAACCCTTTCTCAGTGGGTGGGTGGATGGGTCAAACAGGAGGGTTGCTAATCCTGGCTACATTTGAAAAGGGGCCTCCCTCCAGCTCACTCTTCCTGGAGAATCCTTCACCATACCCTTCAAAGGCTTTCTCCCTTCTTTTTGTGGGCCCCAACCCACGAAAGGGGCTGCTTTACCAAAAGGGCAATAGCTATATCCCCAATTCTTCTTGCTCCCCTAGTACATAAATGTGATCCTAACATCTCAGGGACGGCTGCCTGCCCATATACATGCTCTCCTCTCCCCTTTCCTCACCCTATTCAGCGCTTCTCTCATTTTTTTTTATCACTTCCCTTGCATCCTCTTTGGGCAGGTGTCACCTAAATACTTCAGGAATTAGACACCTTGTCTGGGGCTCTACTCTGTGCGAGCTGGAGAGGATGCTGAGGGTCCCCTCGCTAACTGCAGGTCTGCTTCATTTCCAAGACTGTGTGTACAAAAGCATCGCTTGATGAGTCTAAAGGGGATCACATTAGAGGAGTCTGGAAAATGTACTGTTCATTTTAAGTTGTAGCCCAGTCCCTTTGTATAGTTGATGCTGGGGATACTAGAAGGTGGGGGTTGGAAGTGGGGAGGGCCAGACAAGGGACCAAGATTTCTCCTTTCCCAGAGGGGCAGGACCTTCAAGGCCTTGATGGTCCTAAAATAGAGCGTGAGCAAAGAAGAAAAATAATTTTCAGCACTTTCCCTGTTTTTAGACATAAGTATGGTCTTTGACACAATCCTAAGTTCCTCAGAGATTCATTTTAGATAGAGCTATGAGCAGAGCAGGTCAAAGGTAACCATAGCCAGCACATGGCATCTCAAAACCTTGTCTTACACCCTATTCCGGGACAGAAACTGCTACACTGGATTTCTTTCTTTTAAAAAAAATCAGCTCATATCTTTGTCCTGGAGGGTAGAAGGGATGTTTCCTAAATTAAACATTTGCCCTTTGGGGAATATTGTGGATCTCTCTTGTGGGGAGGGACACAGGGACAAATCCAAGCGCCACATAGGACTCCACAAGCAATACTCCCAACACATCCCAGGCCTCCCAGGTAAGAGATAGTGAAGGTCTGTATTTCTGGGATGACTACCTTGAGAAAGGCCCTTTTGGCTTGTGTCCTAAGCCTAGACATGAGAAGAGGAACCCCGGTCAGATACAGTCAGTAGAAGAATGATCTTACCTCCAATCTAAAATCTTAGAGGCTAGGCCAAGGCAGTTCCTCATCACAGCCCTGAAGGGCCAGTTAAGATCTGCTTGCTGGTTGGATCACCACTTAATTAAAGATCCATTCTGCAGCCCCTAAAACCAAAGCTGGAAGAGGGAGCATACAGTCTTTTCCGCTATTGGGGCTGGAGGGAAGGGGACTTCTTAGTTTTTTGTTTTTTCACTGTGACTACTTCAATTCAATCATGGCAGTTGTGGTCCCAAAGAAACGTTAAGTACTTTCCACAGTCCACTCCTTGCCTTCTCACTTTATATCCACAATGATGGGAACTTCTGATGTTTTATCATCACTGACCAGACTAAATATCACTGCTCTTTGCTCTGCCCTTGTGCACAGAGTGAAATAATATGGAACCTTGGATAGGGAGTCCAGGTCCCGAAGTTCTAGTCTCTGCTTTTCCATTTGACTTCTACTATATTCCCAGGCAACCTACACAAGTTTTTCTATCCTGCAGTTGAGGGAAGATGTGACCTGAGGACTGAAATTTTTTTTTCTTCAGAATTGGAACACAGGCCCGCCAATTCTCAAAGTAGATGAAGACATTTAACTACGTGCCCAGCAACAATTCTTCGAAGTCCCTGGATTAACTTAAAAGTTCTTTCACTATAACAGGAAAGTATGTATTAACTACCTATACTCATGCCCTTGTCCAGGGCCAAATGCCACCATGCAAATGCTGTTTTAGGCTCACACTTGTACTTATGCTGTTGTCAGCTGTAACATAGACATTAAAAACATTTTAAGAAGAATGTTGGTTAAATGAATGTCACTTAATACAGCATGTAACACTGAAACCCAAACTCTGGCTAATGTTAACTACTGAAAAGATATTTAAAACATTTCTGCTCTTAAAGACCAGTCCCTTGTATTGGTGATACCTCCCATTGCTCCATTGAGAAGAGCAATTTTGGTTATTAAGATAATTCAGCTAATCACAATTTGAGCCTAAGTTTAGACTTCAGTTATATTTTGCTTTTAAATTAAAATTAACCATAATTTCCATACAGAAACATATTTGTAGGCCTGACTCTTTGAATTCTTTGACTCCACTTTAGCTCTCACACATTCCCCAAACCAGGGAAACCTAAGGGAGCTGAAAAAGATATGGGACTGAATAACTTAAGTCACTTTGAAAACCTATGACCCATTGGAGATAAGGGGCAAACGAGTATTATCTATTCTGAGGCCTGGTCAGCTCTCAAATCATTGTGATTTTTGGGCAGGATGGTAAGTCACCTCATTTAGTATCATGAGTCTTGGTAATCTCACAGATGAAAAATTCTCTAGGAAGATTCTATGTGGGCTCTGCTCACCTGCACCAATGACTGATAAGTCTATATCATCAGCCACTTCTTCCTTCAACAATACTCACTTTCACTAGTAGTATAAAGCTAGTCTTCAATTCTGTATTTATTGAATATCTGCTGAATGCAAAACAGTTCCAGGCATCATGGAGAACATAAAGATAAAATAGTTTCTATCCTCAAAAGGCCTAATATCAAGTAGATATTGGGTTTGATATCCTGTTCCTCTAGGTTCATGTCTGACTCCCCATACTGGGGACAAATCAGGGACTTTTTACTTATTTCAGTACTCTAAGAGTCTGTGATTTGGCAGAGGTACCCCCTACATTAATCCCTTCATCTTAGTAGAGAGGCTTCATGGGTTTTTGTGACTGAAAAAATTCATCATATGGTGGCCCAAGATGCGTCGATGATCCCTTGTCTTAACTGAGCCGGGCTGGTCCTAGTGCAGTAAATGCCAAATCTGGTTGTTAGGTCCGTACTTGAAACCTTTCCAGATTGGTAGGTAAGTCCTACTGGTTTCCAAGAACCCCAAGTTACCTTTGCACCATAGTAACACATCAGAGTAGAATTTTAAGAGAAGTAGGGATTTATTTCTTAAAAGTAAAATAAAACCCATCACGAAATAGAAGCTATGAGTTTATTTAGAACACCTAAGGACAAGGGATTTGTGCACAGACTGAGAACATGGAACAACTTCTAATATCTTTCAGGTCCCCAGTACGGCTAGCTGGTAGCTTCAGGGCATAGAGACCTTGAGTAACCTTAATATAGTTAAGCAGATTAGCTGCTAGCTAGCTCTGCAACTGCCCACTGCATCTAGGGCAATCTTAATGCAGGGCACAGCCCAGGCTAGCAGTTTTGCAGCTTAGGACAGGGTAAGATATCGATTTAGTTCCCTCCTCTTATGGTTAAACAAACCTTACTCCCAGTGACAGGACAAGAAAAGAGTAGGTCTCCAAGGCAGCAGCCATGAGGATTCAGAGGGTTCAATGAGACATTGATATAAAGAGCTCAGAGTGTCTTTGAAAAATCATTAAAATCAAAGGTGATAGGGAAGTGGAAGTAAAGAAGGATGAAGGACTCATATTAACATTAACATTAATTCATATTAAACAAAGCTGGAACAGGGGAATGCAGGTCCATGAACAGTGGAACACATCATCTTTTCTTCTGAAAGTGGAGGATGAGTAGAAAAATAACATAATCTGGAGATCAAATTGACTGATTCAAGTCCTCCCCACTCCCTGCCACATACTTTTGGTTTTATTTTATTTCCCAAAGGGAAGGATTAGGATACATAGTGCATTTCTCTTGTAAAGTGTCTCCTTTCTCTGTTTTCCTGTTAACTCATTTTTGCAAATTTGTCAGAAGAAAACCTCCTGTTCTTTTTCTTTTTTTTTAAATAATATTTTATTTTTAGGCAATTGGGGTTAAGTGACTTGCCTAGAGTCACACAGCTAGTGAGTGCCAAGCGTTTGGTCTGAGGCCACATTTAAACTCAGGTCCTCCTGACTTCAGGGCTGGTACTCTCTCCACGGCGCCTCCTAGCTGCTCCTTTTCTTTTTCTTAGACAGGACTATCATAAGCCTGCAATGTCTGGTGTAACAAGTTAGAACACGGCCCTAAGATGAGGAAAGTAGAATATGAAAATTCCTAGAAGGGCTGAAACCTAGATATTTCCCAACAAAACCCAAGTCTTTTGGCTGTGGGGAGGCCCCCACCAGGCCTCTTTTCTTCTTGGACTGAGATCCATCAGGATCCAAAGCAGAAAGGTCACAAGCTGTCATACCTACTTAACGTGCAACTTAATCTAGCAGAGTGATGACCAAGCACTCTTTGGGAAGGTGAAGAGAAGGGTTCAGCTAATGGCCATGACTGACACTAAGAATATAATCACCTTAATTTTCAGCTTAATACAAATGCCCCACATTGTCAGCAAGGTGAGAGGGTGAAAACGGTTCCAAAGTATTTAATATGATAAATTTTAAGAAAGGGTAGTAGGCCAGTATGATGTTAACATCAACACCTAAAGCATTTATTTGGATACCTTTTAAACTTTTTACATATGATACATTCCAAATTTTACAAGTCGTCCACAGATTTTAAAATTATAGCCAATTTACTAACAGGCTCCTGATACTGAAAGCTTGTTTATATAAACATTTCTACAATAAACATAAATACATGCGGAACAAATAATAAAACAAAGATAGCTCATTACGGAAAGAAGAGGACTAGACTTAAGAGCAAACCTGACTCCTCCCCTCTCAAATAAACCCTCACAAAGCTCAAAACTGTATGTTGCTATTTTATGCAAATTCATAATTCTCTCAAAGACTAATAAGCCTCGCTATTTTAGATAATGGAACCTGAGAGAATCGATTTTTCTTTGCTAACTCAGGATGTTGTGGGTTTAGGCACAATAGCTGGTGTGTTTGTATTAAGGAAGTGCCTACACTGAAACCTTTATAATACTTCTGGGAAAAAAAAGTCAAACTGGCCTTGCAATTTTAAACAAGTACTCTGTGAACCTATGGAGAAGCGCCTAAAGGAGGTTGAGGCAGAAACAACTGTTTTAAAAAATGTCTATACCATGCACAACCTAAACATTAGGATTTAGTTCTACTTGAAGGCAAAGAAAAGGTGGAGAGTGACTGGATTCCAGTTTGGACTTTCTTGCTGCTCTTAGCTAGGTGTGCCTGTCAGAAGTAGGAAGACAGTTCAGTAGTGCTCTTTAGAAAGGATGGAGTCCTTTCAGACACTGACTATTTTGAGAGGAAACAGAGCTGATGCTGGCTACTTTACATTGCTTTTTTATTTTATTACAAAGTCTGGATTTGCAATCCTACTCATGGATCTTCTCCCAGTACATACCATGTGGTATGCAAAAAGGATTTAAAATACTAACTCT